AGAGGTTCTGCTTTTGTTTCCACAGAAGATGAGAGCCTGTGGATTACTTCCAGGCTAATATGGTTTGATCAAGGAAGACCCCCATGAGAGGTCTCCAGATGTTCCAACATCCAGATCAGCTCCAAGGCAAATAGCTCAGAGAATACAGCATCACAGACTATTCCATTCAGGACTTGACCATAATTCTTAAATTTCTCAGGATCCCCATAAGACTACCAGCACCTCCTATCAACAGTAAGTGGCCTAGAAAACTATGCTCACTTTCCCAAAAAAATGGGTTATGGATATTTGTCTTTGTTAGAGCTTAGCTACAGATTGTTATTGGTCATACTCAATATCTTCCTAAAAGAAAAAAGTGAGATATGATATAGATATGATAGAAGGAAAGGGTAGATTATTGAATCTAATTTTAAAGAGCAACTTGTTTTAAATTGCTATAGATTTTAGTTTATTGATACAAATTTAAAGTTAATTTTATTAAGCTGTATGTATATTTCTACTCTTGTTTAAAGTATTTTGGTTTTGCAGCTCATTTAAGATTGTAGTGTATAGTTGATAAATACAGATTAATAGTCATCTATGAAAATCAAACATATAGTCAGTTAGTTAAATTTTCTAGGTATACATAGATATATTTCAATTAGGTGGGTAATCTTCAAACACTTCAAAGACCTATAGAATATGGCATTTAAAGTGTTTTAAGTACTTATACTTTTCTGTACAGTGAGACATGTCTGCTCCTGACAGCACCAGGAGAATGATGGGCATTGAATAAACTCATTATGGAGTTTGCTTTCTTAGTGGCAAAAGTTAGCCACTTGGCAAATAAGTGCCCTTGTGTCAACTGATATTGACAGTATGTTATATAAACTGGACATACAGGACCCGTAGGAATGTGCCCACTGAACTTTGTAAGACAAGATGGTCCTTCAAGTTCCTGCTTCTTAGAAGAACTTGCCAGACATTCTACAGGGCAGACAGAAGAGACTAAGAGACTCTAGGCCTATAGGCTGAAGAAGGATGCCCCAATGTTGCACAGGAACTTCAGGTGACTGTCCAGGCAGCCAGCTGTCTCTGTCATTCTAGATTTTTGGAAGTTGCTTACAATGCTCTTCCTGTTTACTTAGGTAATATTATATCCTCCTGGGGGCTTTGATGTAGTTGAAGACTAGATAGTTATAATTTTCCTTGGTTATGATAAAAGATAAATTAGATATAAAACTTTAGACTCACAAATATAAGATAGACTGTTTTCTTTAATTTTGCCAAATGCAAATAAACTAGATATTATAACTGTAATTCTTGCTTGATAATCGTTCTATATTATGTAATTTTTCTATGTTGAAGTTAAAAATTTTTTAATAGAAAGAAAAGGGCAAATGATGGGTGATATCATTCTGTATGCTGTGAATATGTATTGTTCTGATTGGTTGATAAATAAAGCTGTTTGGCCAATGGTGAAACAGAATAAAGTTAGGAAGGACATTCTAACTAGAGAGAGAGGAAGGATAAGGACAGAGCAGAGGAGATGCTGCTAGCTGCCCCAAGGAGAAGCAAGATATAAAGTACCGGTAAGCCACAAGCCACGTGGAAAAGTATAGATTTATAGAAATGGGTTCATTTAAGATGTAAGAGCTAGCTAGCAAGCAGTCTGAGCTGTTAGGCCATATAATTTAAAAGCAATATAACACTCTATGTATTAATTTGGGTCTGACCGGCTACAGATGGTGCAGGACACAGGAAAACTTCTGGCTACAAGGAAGTAAATAATTTCTCCTTTTTCCAGGTGAGGATGCAAAAATTTCTAGAAGTTCCATCTAGTGGTGAAGAGGCTTAAGCACCAAGTTGAAGAATTGGTCTTAAAGTCTTGTGATCACAGAGATTCACAAAAGATTCTAATTCCAGGAAACAGTGTAACATTTCCTCACATGATAGGATCATATAGATGTTGATTTAGCTAGGAAACATCAGTTCAATGTGTCTTTTGAACCAGGTACATTCTTTCCTCTTGGGCTACAGTAAAGAAAAAAAATAGAAAATGCTTTTACTTCATGGATTTTACAATTCTTGTGGATATTCAGTTATTTGTGTTTTTTAATGTCTTTCAAGCATGTATGTTCACTATGCATATGCAGTGCCCATAAGAGCCATAAAATCATGTCAGAACCCCTGGAACTGGAGTCACTGACAATTATCAGCTACCATGTGGATACTAGGAACCAGGTCCTTGGCTGAAAGCAGCAAGTGTTCTTAATTACTGAGCCTTCTATACAATCCCAAAAGCCAGATTTTTTAAGTGCATATACATTTTGAACACAATTCATTCTACTGAATCTATGAACTGTTTGAGCATGTGAATGGGAGAAACCTATATATCCAAAAGAACAGAACCTTCATGGCACAGGACAACAACAAGTTATCCAAGAGGAGCCCCAGTGAGAATCTATTATTGGTGGTACAGCAGAAACCAGAGTCTTCTAGCCAGGCCAATGACTCCTGGCAATGAGCACTTGCAAGTAAAGATGAATGAACTAAAGGGTATCCGTATAACTGTCTCAATGGGCCACACTACAGCTTCCAGGACAAGATTCTTCATCATTTTTTTTCTGGTTTTGGTTTTGTTTTGTCTCTTTGTTTTGTTGGTGTTTGGAGTTTTCTTTTAAATTTGGTTCTGTGTGTGGGAAAAGGTGCTAAGGGGCAGAGGGCAAATAGGAGGGGACAAGGAGATAAGTGAAATCAGGATATGTGATGTGACAACCACAAAGAATCAATAAAAGGAAAAAGAAGAAAATGCATTAAAAAATTGGTTGCATCATATGAATGATGGAATGACTTAAGGATTTGGAAGCTGAACATCTGGAGGATTTATTGACACCAAATGGAATTACTTTTAAGATTTAAAATTTATAGTGACGTTTTTCCCCTTCACCCAAGTATAAATAAGGACTCAGTCTCAGACGAATCTCTAAAGGCATTGTAGAATCATGCTTTCTAGGTATGATTGTTAATTCTATTGTCTTTTAAGAGTCCTAGTTGGATGATACATTTTTGGTCACGATGGTGAACACAGACACATGGTGCCAAGATCATACTCAAAGAAATACTAACTCTTGGTCCGTTAGGGGCAACCTACTATCAGTCAGTAGCTGCTAGCATATGCACAGTCACTTCGGGAAAGGAAACATACATTTCAAACACTTCCTGGGATGCCCCTTACTGAATGGCCTACCAGGAATTCAAAATAAAGCCAATCTCTCTCTCTCTCTCTCTCTCTCTCTCTCTCTCTCTCTCTCTCTCTCTCTTCTTGTTCTTCTCCTTCTTGTTTTCCCTTCTCCTCCTCCTCCTTCTTCACTCACCCTATTTCTTCCTCTTCTCTCTGTGTCTGTGTGTGTGCATGTGTGTGAGATGTGTGTGTACATGTTTGAACATCTGAGTGGGGTGCATGTGTGCCACAGTGTGCATGTTGAGATCATTAGAGAACAACCTGTGGTATTGGCCATCACCTATCTTGATTTTGAGAAAGTCACTTGCTATTGTGCATGCCAGACTAGTGGGAGCTTTTGGAGATTTTGTTGTGTTTACCTCCCACTTTGTGGTAGGAGCATTGAGATTACAGACCCACTTTATCATGTCCTGTTTATGTAGGCTCTCAGGATCCAATCTCATGTCCCCAAGCTAATCTGGCAAGCAATTTATCCTCTGAATTTCTCCCCACAGGTGAGACAACTCTAATAAAAAAAATGACTTTTTGCACACCTCCCCATAGTAACCCAACTGTGGGTTTAAGCTTGTTATGCATATTTATTATTTTGCTTCAATACATTAAAATAATCTTAGCAGTATAAAATAGAAGTTATTTTCTAATTCTTCTCTACGGGAGAAATCTGAACTATGTAGTGAGTAAGTGAAATCAAGGTGTTTGTGGGGTTTGTTCTTTCCCAATGTGTGCAGGATTCATTTACATGTTTCTCAAGCATCAGTAGTCAATGCATTCTTTAGCTGATAGCCCCTTCTGTCATGGTCAAAGTTTGCCCTATCTGGCTGCTTCTCTCTTTGCCTCACTTTACATTCGTCTTTGGCATCTCTTCTCTATAGTGCTTGATTGGAAATATGTGTGAGTATGTCTTGTTGACATGAGTGATTCAGGAAGCTCTCCCTATGTTAAGGTTAGCTGACTAGAAAATTTCTGTTCACAACCTGGTTCTCATGTAGTCTGCAATTTAACACACATCCATGTCTCAAGGAATAGGATACAGATGACTTGAGGGAATCCATGTTTTGCCTATTGTCACCTTTCTCTCATCCAATCCTGTTGGCTCCCTGATGTTACAGGTGCCAATCATGACAGGCACTAAACTGCATGTGCATGGTTTACTAAACATTGGGTCAAATTCTGTCATGAAGGCTTAAAGATAATTTTCCTAATAATAGTTAAAGACCATGCATGGAAAGTAATGGATACCTGCCTGTCTTCACTTATTGATTGCAGAACCATTGCTCTTTTGTTTTATTTATTTAATTTTGTATTTGAATATTTTTGACAAAATAAAATATAATAAGATAAAGCAAAAAATGCCACATTGAGGCTGAGCAAAGCAACCCAACAGAAGGGAAAAAAAGTCCCAAGAACAGACAAAAGAATTAGTGACCCACTTGTTCACACACTCAGGAATCCCATAAAAATATGTTGAAAGCTATACTATGTATGCAGAGGAACTGATGCAGACCTATTCAGGCCCTGTGTTTGCTGCTTCAGTTTCTGTGAACTCATGAGTCTTGTTTAGTTGATCCAGAAGGCCTTATTCTCCTGGTACCTTCTATCCCATTTGGCTCTTATACTCTTGCTGCGTCATCTTCATCAGGATTCCCTGAGCTCTGAGGGAAGGCAATTGATGGAGACATCCCATTTAGAACTGCATGCTCCAAGGAATGGCTATAGGTCTCTGCATCTGTTCCTGTCTGCTGAAGGAGAAAATTTCTCCAATGATAACCGAACAAGGCACTGATCTATGAGCATAACAGAATATCAGTAGTCATTTCATTAATGCAAAGCATCCATTTATTCATTTATTTATCATTTTCTGTATGCTATTTTTCACATCATAAACATACCCAAAGGCTGCTCTTCCGATATAAGCTTCCTCCCACATGCTCATGCAATTTATCTTCATTTTTCATGACAATATTTGATTTGTTGCTCTCATACTTTCTTCATCTCTACACTCTCCATAAAGTGCTCTCCAATGTCAATAATAATCTTTTTGCAGGGCTGATCTTGCTCACCTTCATCAGTTTTTGATGGGGAAACATCTTTTATCACTCCTATGTTGTGAGTCTTTGTGCTATTTAGGAGGTGTTTATTCTTTTTTCTTCATTTTCTTTTGCAGTTTGGCTCTTATCAGCACATATTTCTTCATATATATCATCAAAGGTATCATCAAACTCATACTGTAGACTTTGCAATGGGGTACAAAGCATGGTATGTTCTTGTTTTTCTTATCTATCACTTATAATATTGTATATTTATGTGCATGTGTTGTTTGTGTATGTTTATTTTTATTTATGTGTATGTGTATTGTGTGTGCATGCACAAAGGCTGGTGGAGGATTTCAGCTGCTCTATACCATTGATTTCTACTTCTATCTCTTTAAGCAAGATCTCACAGAACCTAGAACTCCCTGGGGTTTTTTCTCCCTACTCTGTTTTCCAGTAACCCCAAGAAAATATGATTTCTATGCCCTCCTGGCCCAGTTAGGGGTTATAGTTTAAGGTCTCCACTCTTGGCTGTGTACATAACCTCTGCAGTTCTAAACTTAAGTATTCATGCTTGTACAGCAAGCATGTTTACCCATCGAGGCATCTCTGTAGCCCTGATACTGCATATTAATCTCCTATTTTGGTTATTTACTATCTCCAAAATGGCTGAATCTATATTTATTATCTTTCATTTAGTTTAATTTAATTCAATATTATCTTATTATTATGTCATGTCAATGCACACTTGTAGAAGTGTTTGTCAGATCAATAATTAATTAATGTGTTCAGTTTGGCAACTAAAATTTTCACAATGTATTTCACCCAGAAGTTCTGGTACCACTCCAGATCTAAAACATCCAGAATGATTTGGTCTTCCTCTACATGATACTTCTTTTCTTATATGTATTATTTCATTCAATATTTTATTATTATCATAAAGATCAAAAGTTCTGTGGCAAAAGTCTGTGCCATTAACTTTGATGTTTGTTTTGGTTCTGTTAACTTTTATCATTTGGCCCAGCTATAGCATATATGGTGAGTGGGAGCACACAGACTCTATCTTGGGCATTTACTGTGCCTTTTTATATTCTGCCTTCTCATCTCTTGGATCTCTTTCCCACTTTTCTGAGTTAAACTAATACTTTCTTATTAAATTGCTTTGCTCTATCCTAATTTACTTGTCCCTATAAACATTACTTCTCTCTCTCTCTCTCTCTCTATATATATATATATATATATATGTATATATATATATATATTTACTATAAATGCTTAACTAAGAATTCTAGTAGTGTCTTATTTATTATTCAAAACCTTACTTAAGATTTGCAAACTGAAAAATATGATTGGCTACAAATATCATAAATAAAAAAGTTCCACGATAACATTAGTTTGGGGACTAGCTAATAATACTAACTAATGGATTACAAGTATGGATGTGACCTCTTTCCCTCATTGTGTGCACTTTATAACTCAAATTTCTGTGCTCTCAGTCTATGCTTCTACCCATGCTATTTGAATTGAACCTTGTGAATTATCTTCATTGATACAATGAGAGAGAAGAAGTGGTGTGTGTTAAATAGCCTGGGTGTTAAGAAATTCTGTAACTCTATTATTGTGGTAAAAAAAAAAATAGCTCTGCTAACTATGAAGAATTCTATGTGTCTTTATTACAGTTCCTATTGCTATGATAAAGCACCATGATAAAAAAGCAAGCTGGAAAAGAAAGGATTTATTTCACCTTACAATTCTTAGGTCACTCTTCAACACTGAGTTGAGTCAGGGCATGAACTCAAGTCAGGAACCTAGAGGCAGGAAGTAAAGCAATAGCCATAGAGGAAAGTTGCTTACTGGATTGCTCTTCATAGCTTGTTCAACATCTTTCTTATACCATGCAGTATCACCTTATCAAATGTGATACTGCCCACAGTAGATTGGTTCCTCTCACATCAGTAATTAATCAAGAAAACATCCCAAAGTTTTACCTATAGACCAATCTGTTTGCATTTTTTTTTTCAGTTAAGGGTCCCTCATTAGACTCGACTCTAGCTACTGGTAAATGAATTAAAAAAAACACAAAGATATTAAGATATAAAACATTAAATAATCAGTTATAAAACATAATAATAAGGGCTGGAGAGATGGTTCAGTGGTTAAGAGCCCTGTCTGCTCTTCCAACAGATCCACGTTCGATTCCCAGTACCCACATGGCAGCTCACCACTGTACAACTCCAGACACACAGGATCCAATACATTTACACAGATATACATGCAGGCAAAACATCAATGCACAAAGAACAATAAATTAATAAAGAAAAAATACAATAATAATCATAATGAAACTAAAAACAAAAGCATAAGCCCTGTAAGAGAAGGGATACTCAATTAACAGGGTGAGCTTGGTTAGATTCAAGTCAGAAGAGGCATCAAAGAACCCAGATTGCCCAGCCAGGCCTCTGAATCCTGAGAGATAAGACAGCATTATTTAAAGCCCCTGTTCTTAGAAGCTGGTTACAGAGCATGAGGTAACTAATACAGACCCTGCTTTGGAACACTGCATGCACATTAGCCCAGTGAAGAAAAGACACCGCACTAGAAAAGACTTCCTTCACTCTATCCAATCAAGTTAAGTTTATTTTACTAAAGAGATGGTTCCTGTTGCTGATTAAGAACTTTGTCCAGACATTTACTATTGGAATTTGGTGTTAGAAATCCAAATTCCGATCACCTCTAACTCTATTTTCACTAACAAAATTTCATATTCAGTCTAGTTATTCAATTTTTTATATTCAATTATTGAATACCTCCCACTGCATATTAATATAAAAGTATATGATATAGGCTTTGCATATTAATTTGAAATAGTATCCACTCCGGCGTTTTGCTAAGCATCTCCTTTCCAAGTCATCACATTGTTAGAAGATATGCAAAAATCAACTCAACCATGTTCCCAATTACTTTGTGTATGTCCTATGGGCCAGAGACAGTTTAGCTGTGCTGGGGAGTGAGATTCAGTACTGAGGTCAAGATTCCCAACCTGAATTTTATATTTTATATTTTCCTACTTTGGTTGTTCCATGGGGGTAAAAAGGGTTTATTGAGGACTTTATTTTTTTTCATGTTGAATTTTTTTAAATTCTTAACAATTATGTGTAGAATTCTATGAGTACATAATGATAATGCAGCTAATTAGAGCTTAATATTCATTACATAAGCAATTGCATAATATGAAGTTCTTCAGAGTGTTGTAATTTCTTGGAACCAATCCTTACTTCATACCACAAGAGAAAGAACCTGAGGCAGAGAGTGAGGAACCCTTCTCTCCGTGAGTTCAAGTGATTGTTCACAGAAATTTGCACCCTAGATAAAAATGTAGCTAATGACCTTTTTTATGAGCTTCAAGTGCCTGCCTTCAGTGTTATCATTAGAAGTCCATATGACAGTGAGGAATTTTAATAAAACTAGAATAAACATTCACATAAATTGCAGGGCTTAAAACAATACAAATCTATGATCTTAAAGTGAGACTTTGACAGGAGTCTCACCAGGGTAAAGTCAGGGTCACAGCAAGGCTGCATCCCTGGGAAGCTTTAGGGGAATTATTTTTTCTCTTTTCAAGCTTCAAAGGACCACTCTCTTTTTTCTTCCACACCAGCTAGGTAAAATCTCTTGGGCTTTTCTTCTGTTATCACACCTCTGTCCAACCACAGTCTTCCCCTGAAACAAAACCAAACAATTACAAACATCCTGTTTTCTCAGGAACACTTGTATTTAAACTGAGTTCACACAGATAACTCAAAGTACTCTCTGTTACTATTCTCCTTAAATTAGATGCATTTGCAAAGGTTGAATAATCACAGGATTTGTGGATTAATGTCTGTGTATCCTAGGCTATCACTCTACCTCCCACCAGTGAGAAATTGCTTTGAAAATTTGTTTTCATGTAAAAGTCTTACAAACCTTGTATGGATATTATTTCTGGCTTATAGAAGAAGAAGCTGGAGCAGAATCATCACCTTGCCTGGAACCATGTGATTATGTTGTATTTGGAATGTATGACTTCTTGGCTGTACTTATCAAAGGTATCATTGAGTTAAAACAGAAAGTAAAAGAAAGGGGTTTTCTTATTTTATTTTATTTTTTATTTGTGTGGTGGTTTGAATTAGAATGCCCCCTACAGGATCGGGTATTGGAAATTCAGAAAACTTGCTTTCCAGTTGGTAGTGAGGCCTCCCTGGAGGAAGTATGTCACTCAGTGTGGGTTTGAGATTTTATAGCCTTGCCTCACTCCGAGTTTATTCTTTGCTTCCTGTTTGTGGTTGAAGATGTAATCTTAGCTTCTTGCTTCTGTTCTCATGCCTGCGGCCTATTCCTGTGCCTTGATGTAACAGTGTACTTAGCTCTTTTGCATCATAAGCACAAATAAACTATTCATCTCACAAGTTGTATTGGTCTTGGTATTTTATCACAACAGAAAATTAGCTAATATAATCAGTATACATTGATTGTGCATAACAATGGATATCATTTTGACACTTTCATACATATATATGTTAGATTATAATGACATTATCCCCCTGTTGCTTTCCTTTGTCCTCTTTCCATTTGTGCTTATTACTTTCTTCCTCCCAATTATGCCCTGGTGTGCTTTCATGTCTTTAAAACAAAACATAATGAGTTTTCTTTGAATTGCTGAGAGATGAACAGATGAAGGATTATTTACTGGAACATGAGAACTTATCAGTGTCTACACCATTTAAGAATGTCCCTCCCTCCCCTAACAACCAACAACCACCTCTAATTCCTCAAGAGAGAGGTGGGGCCTCATTAAACAGACGCTTCTCTCTCCATAACAGAATGTTAATGGGTCCCAACATTTTAAAGTTTTTATGTAGGTGAGGGTACTGAAAGTTTAAGAGTGCAATCACCATGCCATACCTGGAAGAGTGAGTTCCATGAAACATCAAGAAGAGCAATATTAAGAAATAAGAGCCAATTTCATAGTTGTGATTAGATAGAGGAAACATATATGTGAATTCAAACTGTAAACTGTTACTGTTGCACGTGCACATGTGTGTGGGGGGGTGTTGGTATGTTGGCATGTACACATGTATACAAGTGCCAGATGAAACCAGAAGAAAGTGCTGGAGCTTGTGGGCCATTCAATATGGTTGCTGGGAAGCAAACGAGTTCCTTGTAACAGCAGTATGGACTCTCTGGTCT